GAGCGTGGCCCAGTGGGTGGAGTCAGGAGACCCAGGGTTTCTCTCCCATGGACCTGCTGTGCAACTCTGGGTGCGTCATGCTCTATCAGCACCCAGCCCAGCACCCTGCACAGCCCCATCTGGCTAGGCCAGACACCCTTAGAGCAGAGGCTGCCTGCCTTTGTGCAGAGCAGCAAGGCCCTGATCAAGGTAGCAAAGCCAGTCACCCATGGCCACCAGGGGATACCAATGTCACTCACCTCGTTTTCTCTGTGGCCCAAGCCACACACGTCCCAGCTGGAAGGGGCAGCAGTGCCGGTGCAGGAGATGGGATGCGGGTGCCCTATGCTTCCACTGGCAGTCTAGCTGGCATCTCCACAGTGCTACCATGGATTGTGAGAAGGCTTTTCCTAATATCTAACCTAAACTTCCCTTGCTGCAACTTGTGACCATTGCTCCTTGGTCTGTCATCTGCCACCGCTAAGAGCAGTCCAGCTGCATCCTCTTTGGACCCCCCTGCAGGTAGTTGAAGGCTGTTATTCAATCCCCTCAGTCTTCTCTTCTGCAGACTAAATAAAACCAGTTCCCTCAGCCTTTCCTCGTTTGTCATATTCCCCAGGCCCCCAACCATTTTCATTGTCCTCCACTGGACTCTCTCCAATTTGCCTGCATCCTTTCTGTAGTGGGGGGGCCCAAAACTAGACACAGGACTCCACGTGTGGCCCCACCAGTGGCAAATAGAGAGGAATAATCACTTCCCTTGATCTGCCAGCAATGCTTCTACTAATGTAGCCCAGGATGCCATTAGCCGTCTTCGCAACAAGGGCACACTGCTGGCTCATATTCAGTTTATTATCCACAACAACCCCCAGGTCCTTTTCTGCAGAGCTGCTGCTTAGCCAGTTGGCCCCCAGCCTGTCCCAGTGCATGGGATTGTTCTGTCCTAAGTGCAGGACTTTGCACTTGTCCTTGTTGAACTTCATGCCATTTCTTTTGGTCCAATTTGCTACAATTTATTGAGGTCTCTCTAAACCCTAGCCCTACACTTACCCTTTGCACCAATTCTGTGCACTACTTAGGACTAACTAAAATATGGCCTTTCCTCTTGTAGGTTCCAGGACTAACTACTGCAGGAAGCAGCCTTTATAGCTTCATGAAATTTGGTCTCTGCATCCCAGCCTGATGTTAGTTAGATTGACTCAGCCTTTTTGTGGATAACTGAAATCAGCCACTATTACTGCATTTTCTGCTGTTGCAGCCTTTCATCTCCCTTAGCGTTTCTAACTCACTGCTGCCATCCTGGTTTCAAGGGAGGTGGGGAGGGGGGAGGAAGGGAAGGGGAGGCCAATAGTCTGTCCCCAGATATACTTTTTTTCTATTGAAACCTGGAATTTCTATCCACAGAGACTCCTTACCAGCTGGAAAATCTACCCGATTTGATTCGATGGAGTCTTTTATATCGAGTGCTGCTCCTCCACCAGTATGAGCTCTAGAAGAACTTGTACAATCTTTGCAATCTTCTATGCCTGATGAAGGGTGCCTGTGCCCGAAGGCTTGCAAATAAAGATACACTTTTTTGCAAATATCTAGTTGCTTTAATAAAAGATATCACCTCTGCCACGAGTTTTGATTCCTTTTGTCTCTAAGCCAATACAGCTACAGCCTGGATATCTGACACACGGAAGATATTGTTATTTAATGCTAAGCATTCAAGTTCCTCTACTTTTGACCTTAGGCTTCTAGCATTAGTATAAAAGCAGGTATACTTTTTATTGTTGCCTGTTTGATTTTTTAATCATTAAAGGTATTTATTTGCTTGTGCTCGTCTTCTCCGTTTCTCATCCCCATTTTTTATGGTTTCACTCCACAGGGTGTGCTGTGTGCTGTTCTGCACCTTTCAGCTTTGCCATTTTTAGTTTGAAAGTACAATGTGAGAGGCGAGAGGCAGAGTATTATCAAAATTCCCAGTTTAATCCAGATTGACAGCGGCATCTCCATTGCGTTCAGACCTCTACAAAAATTATTTCACAACAGGGAAGGGTTCAGACAAACAGATCACTGGGCCTTGTCATCCCGACGTCTACACAGCAAAGCCAAAGGGAGCAACAGATAGAGACGCGAACGGGATCAAATAGATAAAAATCACAACAAAACATTTATTTAAAAACCAAGAAAATGGATAAAAAGCTACTGAGCTCTACCCCCAGCCCAGCCCCCACCTAGGTCCTCTCAAGATGCGTAGCCTGAGACATCCCCTGCAGGGAGATGTCTTCCACAGGCTGTGACAGGTCACCCAAGCAAGCAAAGGGGGTTAGCATGTTTATAAGCCCCTCACCCTCCTTGCAGAGAGATCTGCAAGGGCCATTTGCAGGGCTCTGCTCTCACTCCAATGACATAACAGCTTCCCCTAACACCTCTATTGCCTGGGTTCGCATTCACACACACACACACACACACACACACACACCATAGGATCCTTGGATCCAGACCCTGACTATGCTCTGTTTAAAGGCATTAAAAGATCTCACCTAAGGATGCAGCTTCACACAATGACTAAAGAAGAGCCAGCTACAGGAGGCACTTGTATCACAGAGATGAGTTCCACAGCTGGCTGTGTTACAGCTCATTCCTAATAAGGCACATTGTGGCAATGCCAATCTGACCCACGTGTGGGTCAGAAAATAGGTACCGTGCACATGCACATGCACGCACACAAACACACGCACGCATGCACGCTGCTCTAGGGGCTACATCTAAAGCACTTGTGTGAAAAGCAAGGTCAGCCAAAGTGCAGCCTGAGCTCCAATGTGAATGGTCCACATGGAGGTCTATGACAAGCCCAAGCATGGATTCGTGCATGCTCCTGGACAAGATGCTCCGAGTCCCAGAATGTGGCACTCTGCGCACATCCTACAGGACTGCGAAATCTATGGTTCAAACCTCGTCTGAATTTAGACCTCTCCAGCCTGTCTAGGAGATGCAGGTTTTCTGGGGCTGTCTCCAAGCTGAGGTCTCAACAAAGGACCTGAGTGCAATGAGCTAATGAGAACTTGGGGACGGTAGGGCAGCAGGGCTGAGACTGTGCCCTTGCTCATGTGGGCTGGTCAACTTGGATTCACCATCCCAACAGCCTTGCTAGTAAGGGAAGCCACCAGCTCAGACCAGGACCCTTCCCTTGTGGCTCACCTCCTTGACTCACTCCTCACGATCTGCTACTAGGATACCTCCAATGGTCTCAGCTTCTTCCAAAACAAATCAGGTAAACTAGTTTGCAAGCAGAGGCATCTCCTACAGCCACCCCATCTCCATCACCCCTAGCAGATGCCTGCAGAGGGCAACAAGGATGCTGGAGCCATGCAGAGCCCTGCAGCCATCACCTTGACCCAATAAGGAAAGGACCAAGGAGCAGAGCAAGCTGGGTACCAACAGGAGGGGTGAGGGGTCAGACTAGGAGGAGGGATCAGACCCAGCAGCCACAGATCACACGGCATTTACCCGTGGACACCTGGGGGGCTGGGAGGGGGAAAGAAGTTCTCCTTATCTATTCTGCTCCTTCATTTGTGATTCTCAGCTGTAAAAGCCATTTCTAAAACATCAGACAGACATGAATAAAAACCTCCCCAAGCCAAGCTACCCCAGGCCAGGCTGGTGGCAAGGCCTTGGAGGGAGCTGCTCCTGGGAAGGCTCCCTGGGGGCCAGGAACCTGCACTTTCCCCATACCATTAAACCAGGTGCTGGCAACAAGGGGGACATGGGGCAGAGCAACTCGCAGACATTATTTTAAAACCAGTTTTCAGTTCCACTGATTTCAGGAAGGGGCCAAAGGGTTAATCTAAAAACCACATCTGGCATCACTCACTACATGCCCAGCAGGTCCAGTCCTGCCTCTGGAGCTGCACACACAAGCACAGACACCCTCCCCCCACCCGCCCCGCTTTAAATGCAGCCA